TTTACACCCTCGGAAACCCTGTACAGGGTCGCTATGGGTCGGAACCGACTCGATGGCACTTAACAACAACAACAATTTTTGGAATGTCATCAGAAAAGACTAATCTCTAGAAAAAGACATTATAGTTTGACATGGAGAAAGAGAGCGCAACTAAGGACTCTAGACTCATGGAAAGAGAAAGGCTGTGTGCTGGCAGCCAGGAGGCAGGCTTGCAGAAATGTACCCTTTGGATTATTAAATGATTATATATTCCTGAGTGTTTTGGTGTACATTAAAAAAAAAAAGAGGGAATAGAAACAAATACTGTTGAATGATGAGGCACTGAGGAGATTGTAATCATTGCAATGAAACGAAATACGATAGGATGAGCGGAAAACCGATATTCTCCCATGTAAACTGTCATTCAGTTAACAATAAAAACTTTTTAAAAATAATATAAAAATAATTTTTAAAAGTCTCTGTCCAATACCTAAAATGGGGCTACAACTTGCCCAGTGAAGGAGTCTTCCTGCGGAGCCTCTGCATTACATAAGACTATAGGTGGAATTCTGAACCACGTCCAGAATCTTCAGAGGTGGGAAATTTCCACTTGAAAGCACAAGCAGACCAATCTGGAGCAGCTAGAAGAACAGAAGATATTTCTTGAAAGAAAGACCAATAGGAAAAATACAAAACAATATATAGGCAGACCGACTGTTTACTACAAGAACAAGCAAGGTGCTTGCCCAGGAGACATCAAGGCAAGTGGTTGGGTCCCCTCAGAGCAAATGCCCTTCCAAGACTAAGACTCAATGGGAATACACACTCTGATTGGTGACCACATTCGTCACTGATAAGGGGAAGTAAGGGGAAAACAGCAATGAAGCTGTTCAATAGACTCCTATGAACACAGCTGGAGACCTGGTTGGCCAGCAGTGTGGCAAGACCTGGAGACTCTTGGGCCCAGAGTCAGTGATACAGCCACAGAAGACTAGAGTGGAGAGTGAAGTGTCCACCTGATAAGAAGAGAGGGCATATGCACAAGAACACCCACACTTGTAGATAATACCCACTTTACCTGGCTTCAATGACTGGATGATCAGAGCTCAACCAGAAGAAGAAAGAAGAGGATAAAAAGAGTAATCTGGTACAATTTGATGTACTTGACCTATACTCATGGAAATAGTAACTCTAAATACCAACAGAGAGGGAAGGAGTCTTCATATCAAGTAATAATGCTATCCCCTCTGTTCACAGGGTGGATAGGGATGGCCAACTTAGACATTTGCTACCTAAAATGAGAGGACAATAAAGGCACTAAGTGACTGGCTTACAAGGTTTCAAGAGGGAGTTTAGTTAAAGAGTGTGTGGGGAGGGGGGGAGAAAGAGTCCCCATTAAATAGTTTTCATCTCTTCTAGATGTATCTGGTGAAAAGTGATGGGAATAAAATTTGTAAGATTCAATAGTGAATAATTGTTATTATGACTAACTGCGACTGTCACAATTGTAAAGGTAGAAGTTTTGTAACAAAAACGGGAGTGGTTAATCTTACAGTCCAGAAATGGAGGACCCTAGGACATCAAGGGAGAAGAGCACAACAGAATGCGGGAATTTATCCAAAGAAGGAGGCAGAGATGCGGTCATAGAGAGGGTTAACGGCTGAGAACTCCAGAGTCATGGGAAGACAGGAACTAAGAGCTGGTGGCCAGGACGCAGACTTGCAGAATGTGCCCTTTGAAGGTGTAAATTATTACATTTGTGAGTGCTTTGTATTTTTTTTAAAAAAGCTAAAATGAATAGAGAAAAACACTGTTAACTGATGGTACATGGAGGGGATTAGAATCACTGTAATGAAACAAGCTGTATGATTTGTTGACTGTAACACTGATGATTTTCCCTGTAACCGTTCACTTAATCCACAATAAAAATCTTTTTAAAAAAACCCAAGGAGTGAAAGAAACCAGTTTGTGAAAATATTCTATTAGCTTTTAATACCATTTTTCCACAAACTTTTTGAGGCCCCTCAGGTAAGGTGAGAAACTTTGTAGTTTCCATACCTATGAATGTGGCCACTAAACGCACAAAATGCTGCTACCAGTAGCAAGTGGGCTCCCACACAGTTTCATATTTATAGTATATTTAAGGCTATGTTTGTATAGATGTGTTAGTTTCCAAGTAACTGTTCCTAACTAATGGCTATGGTGGTGGAGGTGATGGTGATGGTGTGCCGTGGAGTCGGTTCTGACTCATAGGAACCCTGTACAGGGTTTCCAAGGCTGTAAATCTTTATGGGAGCAGAAAGCCTCATCTTTCTCCCGCAGAACAACTAATGGCTATAGCGTAAAAAAATAACAGAGAGAATGGCAGGGAGAGAGAGAGCATTTGAAGACTTTAGACTAAAGTAAATAGAAAGGCTGTGTGCTGGCAGGCAGAGGGCTGGTTTGCAAAATGTGTCCTTTGGTTGTTTAAAGGACTACATATGCCTGCATGTTTTTGTGTACATCAAAAAAGGGTATTGCACAGAGGACTAGAGCAGACAGTGAAGCATCTAGCTGATATGAAGTGTGGGGAGATGCACAAGAACACCTATACTTGCAGACAGTACCCACTTGACCTGGCTTTAATGGCTCGTTGATCAGCACTAGACTAGAGAAGAAAGTGAAAAAAAAGAATAGTCCGCTACAATTTGTTGAACTTGACCTTCCTTATTGATTTAGTAGCTCAAAAAAGGAAATGAACCTTATAGTGAGGATCATTCTCACCCTCTAGGTACAAAAGGATTGACAGGCATGGGCAACTTAGACATTGGCCACCCCAAATGAGGCTACAAAGGCAAGAAATAACTGACTTACAAGCTTTCAAGAGGACGCCTAGTTGCACAGGGTGCGGGAGAAGGCAGAATCTTCAATGAGGTTTCCAACCTATTTGGACAGGGCTAATGAGAGGAGATGGGAATAAGATTCTTGTGCTTCAATAGTGAATGATTGCTATCAAGACTGACCGTGAGTGTTGGAAATATAAATGTAGATGTTTTAAAACAAAAGGAGGGGAGTGGTTGATTTTGCAGTCCTGGAGCTGAGGTCCCAGGGGGAACACTAAGGGAGTAGAGTGGAGTGCGGTACCCTATCCAAATAAGCAGTGATGTCAGAGATGGAGGCAGAGGTGATGACGTCGGGAGATGGAGTAGCTGGGGATTCTCAACTCAGGGAAGGAGAGGGGCTGTGTGCTGATGGTTGGTGGGCAAGCTTTCAGAGTGTACCATTTGGTTGTTTGAATGGCTATATGTCCCTGAATGCTTCATGTACATAAAACATACACTACAGTGATATAATCTGCTAACATAGCACAGACAATCCATTCCCAAGTGTGGTGCTGCAGGATGATGCACTGGACTGCACGGTGTGTTTGAACTGCAAAGTAAGTGATTCAAACCTATCAGCTGCTCTTCAGAAACCCTACACAGGTTTGCTCTGAGTCAGAAGCAATGCCAATGCACTTGAACAACAATAACAATGGTTAGGATTAACAATGTGTATTTCTGGAAGATACAATTCAGGCCATCACAACGGGGATAGTTGAGTTAGACATTCTCAAGTCTGTGCTCTGTGTTGATTCCACAGCCTGAAAGTTTGCATTTCAAGAAACTAAATTACAGATGGCAGAGTGGTGTGTAAGATGTAAAGCCATGTGTATCTCAGCAAGGAAATTAAAACCTGGAGTTGAAAAAAACAGGGGAGGAGATATTGTATCATTACAATGATTGGTTGAGTACAAAAATGATGATCTGCCAAAACAGACTATCACTCAGTTCATAATAAACAGTATTTTTAAAAAATGTTTTCTTGGTAAAATAAACTATCTCTGATGGTTATGAATGGGTTAAGACTAGAGGGTAGACCCAAGGTAACACGGATGATAGGGCAGGCAATATACAGCAAGAGGGAGCTTAGCAGAGAAAGAAGGGAGCAGGAGATATGGGGAGGAATGCAATAGTAAGGTGAACAGAGGTAAATACTGTTAACTAGATGGGATCGTCGTTAAGTACTGTGGAGTCAGTCGTCTCTAACTCATAGTGACCCTGCACAGGGTTTTTGAAGTTGTAAATCTTTACGGAAGCAGATGCCTCATCTTTCTCCTGTGGAACCACTGGTAGTTTTGAACTGCCGACCTTCAGTTTAGCAGCCCGATTCATAACCACTACGCTACCAGAGCTCCTTCTAGATAGGATTACAACCATGTAATGAAGCAAAGTATATGACTTGTTGAATGTACAACTGATGATCTCTGTAAACCTTCATTCAATTCACAATAAAAAAAAAAGCTAATGTAAGTATCACTTCATGTTAGCAAATGTAACTTCCTATTGCTTGATTGTATTTTTTATAAATCTAGATTCAACTCTACTCCCTTAAACCAAAGACCAGCCTTTTTTATACCCTAGAAAGGAATGCCCTTCGGCTTCACTTACTCTTCATTCAGGGAACATCTACGAGTGGTGAGCGCGCCGTATTTCCTCAGTGTCTCAGTGAGCTCTGAGTACAGTTTGTCAGCCAGAGACAGTGGGATTCCTTCCCAAACCAGGATGAGAATCACAATCACAGCAGCCTCACAGGTGTGGCCGGCTCGCTCTCTCACCAAACACAGCAGCTTCTCCTCATTGCCACTTCTCCGAACCACCTGTATGAATTACCATTCCAACAAACACCCAATCCCAACCAAACCAAAACAAAACAAAAACCGGAAAAAAACAACAAAAAAACAAAAACAAAAAACAGTGGTCACTTGCAGCAGATGTACTGATTTATGTATGTGTATTTTTTCTTCTCTTGGGCTCAATTAAGGCAACATTTACTAGGACCTGCAACTTCCTTTTGCTGGCCAACTATCAAATAGGGGGTTAAAACTAACCTCATCCAGTACAAAGAGGATGAAGCCACCTCCAATAAAGCTAGAAATAGGTAAAAAGACATTCATTTCTTCTTAACATACAGATCTTAAATCAGGATAAAAGATTGTCTAAAGATATTAAAAGAATGAAGGACCACTTCCGCACAACTCAGTAAGAATTATAATTTCATCAGGAACTAGAATGAATCTATAATTCACCATAAAATACTTTCAATTAAATAATTCCCTTATGATTCTAAAAATATTCTGCAATTCTTCATAACAGATAAAAGAAGTTAAAATAAATAGAAACAATATTTTTCTCATGTACATATGACTCTTTGATGTGGATAATCCAATTCTGAGGGTGGATTAATAAACCAAAGTGCCCAAATTGAAATTTCAACTGCCTGTTAAGTCACACTTACCCATTTAGCAATAGGACATCCTTGAGAACTTTTGCCTTCTTTACCAGTATAGACGACTCTTTCAATCCTAATAGCTTTACCCTTCTGTCCAAACCTTAATCACAGAAACACATACATATGCAATCAGCAAATTTATACAGTGGCAACCAAACTATATTTTATTCTATGATCAAATCCTGAGAATGAATGGTTTAATTTATTTTTCAAAAAACAGGTCTAAGCCAAGCAAACTCATTAATAATTTTTAAACCTTGTGTTTTGTCAGTATCAAAATATACTGATAACTATTTTGTAAATTATGTTGGGTGAAAATAATGGGAAAGCTTGTTTCTATGTATAAGTTCACAAAGCATAAAAATGGTTTTGGAAGTTAGAATTCTAAACTCAGTCTTCTAAAACTTATGCTAATTGCTTTCTCCATTAAGTTTAGTTGTTTTAAAATTTGGGGATTCATAATTTTTAGTAATAGTTGTTCCTCAAAGACAAACATTTTTTATGAGACTGATAACTACTATCTAGTCACTTTTAATATGTGGGATTTACTAGAAATACTTTATTTTCCCTATGACCAAGACATTATGTACTTATTTGTTACTTGCTAATTTTTTTTTAAAAAGGCACTTGGGGAAATCAGCAATTTTTGCCAGTTCACTAAGATGATGATTATTTAGTGAATGTCTACATGCTAATTTAGAACAGAGGATTTTAGAAATGTAGGAATTTCTCCTTGTTGCTTAGGATGACTCTTAGTGCACTTTCACGATAACACTGCCTACCTGCTTCAAGAGAACTAACCCTATCCACAGTTAACAGCTGAGTAACGTCTTTCTTCACACTTAATAGCTTACTCATAAGAGTTTTCTACCTTCAAGAGTAAGTTTGCATACTCAAGTAGACACTTGCATACCTGTTTACAATTAAAAAAAAAAAAATCAGCTATAAATATAATTTTATTCTACTTCTGTTCAGCATACTACACTTGCTCTTTGTTCAAAATAAGGAACTTCCTTTGAGATAACTACTCATTTACAACTCCAGGTGAATTTATTCAGTGTTCCCTCTTTGCAGCTTTCTCAAGTGGGAAAGTCCAAGTGAGGCCTTTCTTTGCAGCCAGTGCAAGCACCCTTGTGCCTTGCAGGCTGGCAGGCTGCTTCTTGTTGGTGCCTGGGTTTTCTGGCATCTACCTCAAAGTGGGCAGCTGGTGCCAACTAGATGGCTATTAGTCCTGTCAAATATTGTGACTCTCTACTGAATAGCACAGTATGCAGTGTTGGCAACCCTGGAATAGCTGAGCCTCTTAATAATTACTTGATTTACAATTGTTTACTGCTTTGTGTGGGAAGGCTGGAAAAATTCTGACATATACAAAAGGATAAACGTTAATCTGCCCTGCGCTTTTTGCGTTAATTACCTTTCTTCCATGATTTCTCTAATAGCTGCCACATTAGGACCTGCTCCTAGATGGGTATAAAAAGGACCTTCATCTTTTTCAATAATTTGCTCTGTTGAGATAATAGAAGATTATTATTTTAGACCTCTATTATACTAAATATAAAGGCTACATTCACAAAGTTTATCCCCCAAGTGTACATTACGGGAACTAATGTGACTTTAAATTTTATTTTTCTTTAAAATTAGTAAGCTGATGGACTGACCTATTAGAAAATGTGCCAAATATGTACAGGTAGGCTGGTCAATAAAAATATATTAAACTATATTTCAGATATGGGATAAGAAACTATTTTATCGTAAACCAAAAAAGGGGAATTAAACAAAGACAGTGAGGGAATTAAGATAGTTTTATATGTATTATAGACAATAACCCAATTCTTTGAACTGAAAAATAAAAAAAGTTTACTACATGCCTGCCTGGAACTAGTCAGTAACAGATTGAAAATAAAATGCCCTTTATGACCTGAATTCTAACTATTGTTCAGTTTATTGTTAAGGATCTCTTTTACCCTCTTATTTCTCTATCATATTTAATTATCCCAGCTTTGAAAATAAGATATTCAATTCAGACCCATATTTGTATATTCTTTTTGAGCAATTATGATTTAAGAACATACTGGAGAGGGAGTCAGGTAAAAGCAAGGTTGTTACAAATGACCAAAGATAGGAAAATGAAAATATGGGGTAGGGGATAAAGAAAAGGAAATGAGAGGATTATAATTTAACTAATAATAAGTAGGTTAAAGAAGTAAGCAAACAATTATTAAAGAGGAGCAGTGTAGAATGATCCTCCCTGCATTCCCTTCCATAAAGTTTGGGGATTTTCCATTGTAAGAGGAAGGTGACAATTAACTACAGTAGTTTTAGCAAGTATGCTTTCTCAAATCTTTTCTACTACCTCCAAGATGAACAACTCATTAAATTCTTTTTCTCCACCCACACACATTAACTGCATCTATCAGCAAAAACATTTCCCTGTTTTTACAAGCCAATCATATATCAAAAGGTGCTAAGAGACCTCATTTTAACCAAATACATGAACCTTCAAAGAAAAAATGGAATTAACTGAAGAAAGTGGAATTAAGTGGAGAAAGGATAAATTTATCCTTATTCAGAGTTTCAGCATAACACATTTCCCAATTCACTAAGACTGAATATAAAATTAGTATTATAACACAACTAATACATTCAACCTGGTGTTTAAAAATAGCTCCTTTATTAGTTTGCACATGGACAGTATCTTCTAATTTTAACAGACGTTTCCAAATGCCTGGCTGTCTCTCCAGAAGACTGAATTATATAAAAACAGATGTACTTATGTATTTAAAGGATCTGAATAAAGGAAAACATTAACATGTACAATTGTCTTAATTTTTTGGAGGAGGAAAATTGTATGTAGGTGAAGTTCTTCCTTGTGCAGCACAAGCATCTGTAATTTAAAGACAAAAAATGTAAGCTTCAGATTTTTATGAGCCTTTACAAAACTGCTGGCAGACTCAAGATTTAAAAAGGCAAAAGAAAAGAAAATCCTGTATCTGAAGATTAATTTTGTAATTCTGGATAAACACCATGTGTCTCAGTACATTTCAGGCACTTACCTACACATCTGCATGACGGGAAATCATACTGAGTCTTGACAGGTGTATCCAATAAATTTTTTATAGGCGTATCTAGCAATTTGGAAGGTGACTCTAAAAAATTATTGAGAACAGAACCAGCTGTTCTTTTGGTTGGTGTCTTTTCTGAAGAATGAGTTGCTGGCTGCTCTACAGCTGAGGTGTGACTATCAAGTTCTGCAGCAGTGGTTTGCCTAGTTAACACTGTGACTGGTCCTGACATTTCAACTTTTATTTGCTTTTGTGATTTAAGTGCAGAAGTCTTATGGTCAAATAATGATTTGACCTGAAACTGGTTCAGATGTTGTTCCATGGTCTCAATGATGCTCTTTTGCTGCACATTATTACAGCTCAGAGGGGAAATGTCTTGCTTTGTTACTTTTTTCCACATTTTGTTTTCTGGCTGTACGGACATCGGTCTCATACAAGCTTGGGGCTTGGACCCGGGTTCAACTTTAATAGGCCTGTGCATCTGATTACGACAAGTCTCAGTTTGTGATTGCTGAGTTTGATGCAGTTCTTTCCTCTGTAAGAGGTGCCACCTTAAAGCAGCGTACTTCTGAATGTCCTTCTGGGGAGGGGTCTGAATATGACTTCCTCCCTGGTCAGGCACAGGGAAAGCATTTGCTTGGTTATGCTTCAAGTACCTTTGTTGAGTGAATTGTGCACCTTGTTGACTAGACATATCTTGGTTTTTACTCTTACATCCCTGTAGAGCTGAAGCTTGTTGAGGCCTCTGCTCCTGTTCTTGAAAGCACCTATTGAAAATATTCTGCTTTATGGTCACATTATTTGGAAAATAATGCAAGTGTTGAGAGTTCTGAGTCTTATTTCCTACTAAGGATTCAGTATTAATGACCTGTTCTTTCTTCTCTGGAACTAGGTGTGTACTGTTCACACCAGAAGTCTGTATACTGCTTGCATTTGATTTCAGAATTTGACCATAAGGAGAATGTCTACTATTCATATTCTGTCTTTGCTCCAGTCCCAATTGGATGTTATGAGTCTGGAACTCATTTGATTTCAAATACTGATTTTCACCACCAAAGCATTCCTCCACTTTAATCAGGCCACAGAATGATCCTTCTCTTTGCTGAACATTGTTGCTTTGAGGATTTGAAAAAGTCTGAGGCATTTGTTCTTTATTCTTCATTTGCAATTTTTGCTGTAGTTGCTGGTTTTGAGGGAGATGTGCACTCTGCAATGGTTGTGTTTGTGCTGCCTGCTTATGAAGCTTATACTGTAAAAGGTGTGAGTTTGTGAAAGGCTCAGTCTCTAAAGTTTGTTGATTCAAGTGCTGTGTTAATGATATGGACATGAGTTTCTCAGTTTGGGGACCTGGTCTTGACTGAAAATGAAGTGACTGCATGTGAGCATCAGGTGAAGGGTCTGTGTTAGAGAAATGCACCTGTGGTGAGGTTTTTTGAGGCTGGAGATGCTGATCCAGTGTCCGTTGAGACTGCCCTTGATCCATCTTAACTTGGTACATTTGTGACCTGTGCTCTGGTTGCATTATTTTCTGGACATAAACTTGCCCTGAGAGTCCCCCAGGCATGTTGGAATTTCCAGTGTATTGTTTGGAGGTCATCTGATTGCAAGAACTGGATTCATATTGAAGACTTGACCTCAATGAAGCCTCATTATATTTTTGATGGGATTCTGGTTGATGAAAATGAGGGGCTTTCAATTCAATCCACCCTGGCTTCAGACTGGACTGCGTTGGGAGCTCAAGTTCTTGCACTTGTTCTTTATCTTGACCCTTCATAATCTTTTGCTCTTTGTGTCCCATCATCTGCTGGCAGTGGCCTTGTGGATCTGCATTTCTACCAAGAACTGTTGAGTTATGCTTGAGATGTTCTGGTATTTGTCTTGTTTTCTTGGAACACAATGGAAAAGCTATTGTCCCTGGAGTCCATATATCATTCCTGTTAATACAGTTATTCTGAGGTCTTTCTGGAAGCGTAAGAGAAGAACTGAATGCATGCGTAGGTGGGTTAGGACTCTGGGATGTTGGTGCCTCTGGCTCATTCTCTATTTTCACATCTCTTAAAAGAGCTGTGTTATTTTGGTTAGGGTAGCGATGGTGTTCTTGTAAAACTCCATCATCCAGAGTGCTTTTTCCTCCTGATGGAAGCTGAGGAATCTGTGGGAGTGGAGGAGGGCTAGAAAGAAGCAGTTGTGGTGGGGGCGGTATGCTAGTGGCAGAAAAAGAATCCTTAGGGAACACTGAGCTTTGCTTGAAAACAGCACCATTCATTTCATTTTGCTTTGAATATCGTTCAGAGCTGCAGCCAGGAACTTGGAAATGACTGCTGGAACTGGAACAGAATTCTTCACCAGATACTAGCTTTGCGGTGGGTCCTTGGATATTACTGTTTTCTGCAGGAGATGGGCTTCTCTCAAAAATTGATTTTTGTGGCTGTGATTGTTCTGGTTTCTGAAAGGAGCAGGTACCGAGCATTGCAGATGGTTTACTAACATTATCAGCATCACAGGCCTCAGTCACCACTGCAACTGGTGCTGGAGGCAGCTCAGAGTTCGAAGTCTGTGGGGAATTGATTTGCCCTGAGGTATGGGATGGGTGAGTGATCTCACACAACAACTCATTAGTGGCTGGGCTGTCAATGGCATTTATGTGAGATGTGGCTTTCTGTACTGCAATGGAAACACAATCTGGATAATATTGAGACAAAGTTTTTTCTAGGAGTTCACCATGTGTGTTTCCCATGGAAGAGGCAGAAACTGTAGCACCATTAGGCATTAGCACTGTCTTATTTTTGAGAAGTAATACAATGTTCTTGTCATGGTAGTTGACATTTTTCAGCTCTTGCTGATTCAGAATCTGAAGCCCTGGATTTTCAGACTCATTGCATTTATTTGTTGAAAAAATGACTGTTTCTTTAGCTGCATTTTCTTGGGCTACCGAGCTCCCAGGTTCTCTCTTATCACTCAAATCGGAGACATTTGGTTGACTGCTGCTTTCACCTGGATTTCTTTCTTGATTTTCTCTGAAGTTCTCTCTTTCTCCATTAGTCTTTTGGTCTTGCTTCAGTTTCTTGTTCTGATGGAGTCCAGACAGAGAAGGTTCACTAACTGTGCGTTTTATTCCTCCATTTTGCAAACACTTGGAATACCCACTACTTTCTTGTACGAAGTCTGGACTTATACGACTATTGTGGCTCCCTTTCATAGGGGGTATCCCATAATAACTTGTGAAAGACTGCCACTTGGTTTCTCCATTTAATTCTGAACGAGGTCCCTCAGTTACTGGTCTTCCATTCTGGAGGTTTATAGCCAGAGATTCTGTCTGGCAAATGGCAGAAGGAGACGGTATCAGGAATGGACTTAGTCTGTTGCCCTCCACATGGTTGGTTCTATCCTGTTCCATCAGGCTTGCTTCCAGGCCATCCACAAGGCTGCCCTCTGAATGAATTCTAAAGAACACAGAAACAAAAATTAAAGTGCATCAATATATACATATATACATTAACATCTAATAATATACTAAAAATATGCTTATAAAATACTGACATAAACAATACTGGAATACTAGACAAGGAGCTCTGGTAGCGTAGGGGTTACAAATCGGGCTGCGAACCTTAAGGTCAGCGGTTCGAAACTACCAGCTGCTCCGCGGGAGAAAGATGAGGCTTTCTACTCCCGTAAAGATTTACACCCTCGGAAACCCTGTACAGGGTCGCTATGGGTCGGAACCGACTCGACAGCACTTAACAACAACAAGGTGTCTAAAAGCAATGTCCCTGAGAGAACAACAACAACAGACAAGAAAAACTGTAACACATCATGTTTCAGTGACAATACTGAAAGTGACTCTCCTGGTCTTCTCAACAATTCTCAAATATTTATGGTTCCAAAGAACAGGGACAATCAAAACCACCACTTACTGTGGAAAGTTCACATTGTATTAGTGAAAGTATCAACTTCTTCCCTCAAATAATTCTTTTTGTCAAACTGCCAGTGTCCTTCTTCTCTACCACCTCACATATCCAATTACCTAAGTCTTATTAATCCTAAACCCAGTTGTCAATGAGTCAGTTTTGAATTATGATGACCTCATGCGTGTCAAAGCATAACTATACTCCCTAGGATTTATTATAATTGATAGTTTTTCAGAAGCACATTGCCAGCCCTTTTTAGCAAAGCTGCTCTGGGTATACACAAACCTCCAAACTTTTGGTCAGCTGGCACATGCATTAATCATCTGCATCAGTCTCCCTTTATCAGTTCTATTTCCTATATATTCCTTGAATCATCATGACTTCTACATGTTAGCACAGATCTATATTATATTGTGTCATTATCTAGCGTTATAACTTTTGAAATAGTTTCTTGCATAGTCTAACTTGCCTCTTATCCCACAATCCTTCAAAGCTCCCTTTAATGTGTTAACAGACAGAATATTCTAAAATGCAAGTCTGATGTTATGACCTGACTTTTAAAACACTTTACTGTTTCATAATGCCTCTACCAGTTATCTTAAGTTCACCGAAACACACCTAAGATATGTTATAGTTCCTTGTACGTTATCAGCACCCTGGGGGAAGTAGTGTATGGATGAAAAGTATAGTTTACGAAATGTCCTCTCTTTAGGTTATTTTATGATTTCCTCTAGGGATGCTAGCTGCCTACTTCATATGGAGGCTTCCATTTTTCTCTCTACCTATTTCAATCACAGTTTATGTTCTAAAATAATATCTAATAAATTCCTAAAAATAAGAAACTACCATCTAAAAGATTTTCTACGATGGTTACAGGATGACTGGGAGGAAAGAAATAAAATGAGTAGGGGGTAAATATTGTTAACTTATGGACTGAATTCCAATCATAATGACAGTGAGTGTACAATTTGTTGACAGTGGGGCTGGTGATCTGCCCTGTAAACCTTTACTCAATTCACAATAAAAAAAATTAAAGAATAAAAATGCTACCTTCATGCCTTTGTTCCATAAGCCTTCTTCATCTCCTTATCTGCTCTGTGACTCCTAAGCATCTCTCTAAATATGTCTCGGAAATCACTCTCCTAGCATTTCCCTCCTGACTCCAAAGAAGATTAATCATTCAGGTCTATGCTTGTACAAATTCTACCGCTGAACAGATCATGCTCACTGTGATTTGCTTATTTTCTCTTACTAGAAGACGAATGCCTTAAGAATGGAGACTTGGTGTTACGTATCTATTTTCAACGTACCACACATTGAGTATTCAACAAAAAGTACTAGGTTGAAACACATTTGCTATCTTATGATCACTTCATCGTTCACTCATTCATTTATTCACTCACTTGCCATTCTGAGATCAGAGTTGATGATTTTAAATTCAAATGATAAGGGAAGCAGGAAGAAATATGAGTACTGAAGAACTAAATTCACTGACAATGTGACTATTTCTCCATTCCTGATATAATCATGCTCTACATCCCCACACCATTTCTCAGTATTTTTAAGAATGTAAGTTGAACAAGAGGTAAAAAGAATTATTTTCCTTTTTAGTGCCAGAAAAATAACCATTGCTAACTAAAGGAGGCAAATGCAACAGGAAGAGAGAAGATGTCAACATTGGGGAAAAAACACTGAAAGTATCACTAGTTGTAATAGCATACTGGTAAACCAATACAATCAACTGAAAAACTTCTATAGTTAATGAAAATTTAATAAAACAACTAAGGAAGAACAATTAATAGCCATCCTGGTATGGTGCATTTGACCACAAGGCCCATTAAAACTGAAAGGGTTGCTGGTTCAAATTCACCACTTACTCCTCGGAAATACTATGCTGCTGAGTTGGAACTTTACAACAACAACATATGGATATATAAATGTAATAGCTAATTCAAAGTTTTATTGAAATAAACTATTGTACTTAAAATAGCAACAAAAATGTCTATAATGCTAGGAATAAACTTTAAAGAAATAAAAACTAATTTGAATGAAAATACTAGTATATACACACAAATAAAACAAATAGAAAGGTAAAATAGGTTCATAGATAGTTGTCAAAGTGATGTACTCCTTTAATGTACTCTCAGTAAAAATACAAAAAAACTGACTATAAAGTTCATATGAAAAAATAAAGTGGATAGGCACAAATATTCTGATAAAGAGTAGAAATGGGAGTGTGGGTTGGACAGTGGCCAACACTTACTATACTTAAAAAAAAAACATGTGCAAGCACATAACAGTCAAAAAATGAAAACTAAGTCCATTGTAATCAAGTCATTTCTAATTCACAGTGACCCAATAGGACAGACTAGAACTGCCCCCTTGGCATATGCAAATTTAAAAGCTACCAAATCTTTCCCCTTCAGAGCATCTGGTGAGTGTGTGGGCTACCAGGGCTCCTTAATAAATGATTAATAGAGTGTAAGAGAAATATGGTATGAAATACTATGCTTTTAAATATACAATATAGGAATAATTAGTTGGTTATTGAAGTGTGCTCCTTAAAAAGACCCATTGAAAATTTCAGCCACCTACCTCTAAACATGGAAATAGGGTCTTTGAAAATGTTAAAAAATATTATCGGGTTAACATGAGGCCATACTGGAGTAGAATAAGCCCTGTTCTTATGACCTGTGCCATTATAAAAGAAAAGATAGAAAGGGCACCTTATGATGCTGTAGCTATAAGTCAAAGAATGCTTGGAGTTAGAAGAAGCTGAGAGAGAAGCATGCAACAATTTCTCCCCTGAAAGCCTCAGAAGGAAACAATCCCCTTGGAGTCCCCTGATCTTGGACTCCAAGCATTCAGGACTGTGAAATAATAGGTTTCTATTCTTATAATAGAATATGAAATTCTACTAACATGCAGTGAGGTGATGCTGTAACAAATAGCTAAAAAATGTGTATGTGGCTATGGAATTAGGTCACTGGTAAAGACTGGAAGAAATCTGAGTTGCTTGATAATAAAAGCCTTCAAGAGACTGTTCCTAGAATTACAGAAAAGCAACAGTGACAAAACGATTTTGATTCTACTAGACCAACTACCTCCTTCTAAATTTTAATAGCTGGGCTAGCTATGAATGGTCCAGTACAGGTAGGCACCAATCATGTATAGCTATGAAATTATGAGCCTTGAAATGTAAAGTATATGTGCTCAAAAATACACACTGGATTTCAAAGCTTTAGTGTGATAAAAAGGAATGTAAAGTTTCAAAAATATTAAATATTTATTGTGCGTTGAAATGATAGTTTTTTTTGTTTTTTTAATTTAAGGTTTTTATTGTGGATTGAGTGAAAGTTTACAGGGTACATCATCAGTTTCACATTCAACAATTCATATAACTTGTTTCATTACGTTGATTATAATCCCCTCTATATACCATCAGTTAAAAGTATTTCTCTCTATCCACTTTAGCTTTTTTTTAAAAAAACACACTAACAAAAAAACCCACTCAGGCATATATAATAATTTACATCTCCAAAGGGCACATTCTGCAAGTCTGCTCCTGGCCACCAGTTCTTAGTCCTTCTATTCTTAGTTGATGAGAGTCCTCAGCTGCTCCCCTTCTCCATGCCCCCATCTCTGCCTTCATTTCTGGCGCTGCTGCTTCTCTGGACAAGGTCCCACATTCTATTTGTGCATTCCTCTCTTAATGGTCCTAGGGTTCTCTGTTTCTGGACTGTAAGATTAACCACTCCCCCTTTTTTGTTACAAAACTTCTACCTTTACTATTGTGACAGTCGCGATTAGTCATGATAACAGTTATTCACTATTGAATCTTAAGAATCTTATCCCCATCTCCTTTCACCAGACCCATCTAGACAAGATGATAACTATTCAGTGGGGACTCTTTCTTTCCCACCACACTCATTAGCCACAGTAAGAGGACTCCAATAACCCATTACAGATAATAAATTTTAGAGTACTGGTTGGTGTGGTGCTATATACACGGTTCAAATAAATTTTAGGTTTTAAAATTATGAGAGCAGATTGTAATCTTTAAGAGGCTTTGCCAAAATCAGTGCCACTACTATTACTTTAAAAAAATTAATGAATCTAGAGACAATTTTCAGATAAATCCTTAGAAAATAAGTCAATTAACTTTTTTCCAAATACTGTTTAAAAAGTTTTATTTTGACAACTGCAAAATCAATTCATATATACACCAATAAAAGATGTTTGCATGTACATACATGTGTATATATCTATTTAAGATATATAAAAGCTGCAGGCTCTGTACACAGTTCATGTTGCCCTACTTAATTTTCTAGATAAAAAATATTTGTAAAGTTAAATACATTATTTATTGTGATCCATTTCACATAATTTTAGACATAATTTAAAGTATCAAGCTGTGAGCTAAGTCTGACCACCTTCAAAAAACGCCTGTAAACCTGGATTGAGACCTGGTTGGCCAGCAGTATAGCGA